GCGACCTGCCCCGGAATCGACGTCTCGCCTAAGAAACCCGCTCTCTACCCGTTGCGCTCTACTGCCACGTTTCAGCATGACTCCATACATAAATGTAAAGACGCTTCCACGTTTCCTCGCGATAGCATGTGAAACGACCACGCGGGGATAAGACCCTCCATAACTCCGTCCAGAGAATCGTTCCGCAAATTCTGAAGGTAGATTTGAGTTCACTGTCCCAAGACGCGTACAACGGTGTGCAGCTCATTGTAAATGGCCAGGCTGACCTGTTGACCTTTCCTGGTAAGCCGCAACTCTCCGGCGGAGTGTTGTGACCGGCGAAGTGGATGGCACGAGGTAAAAGGGAATGATTCACGTAACGAGCTTCTTTCTCTTTTTGATTGATTCTGTTGCTCCTCGATTAGAGGAGAACTTTGCCATGCTGTAGGAACTAATAAATGTTCTATGTTTGAGGGCGTGGACCACCTAGCAATATTTGGGGTCTAGTCGGCGTGGAAAAACAGATATGCTCAAAACCACGGCAATGAGGAACGACGACTATTACCGAGAGGCTGGGAGCAAAGTCGCTCAACAGTGACTATTGGGAAATAACATACAAACCTTACACAATGAAGAGCTAATTTATTCCGAGACGCTAAGGCACGTTCATACTTCAATACAGCAGCGGCGATCGCGGCGATCGCGGCGATTGTCAGTACATGGCAGAGCGCGCCCCAACGCTATTTCTTGGACCGCTCCAAAGGCTTTTAGGGAGAAGCAACTCAAGTTCATCCTTTTTTTCCTTTGACTGCAATTTTCTTAGGGTCTGAAGCTTGGTTTGACACAAAGAAAGGTGAACCAAACTTAATGGCTTTTCTTTTTTCTATTTTCTTTCTTGATTCAGGATAGAAATGAGCAAAAGGCGTGAGAGCTTCATTTCGAGTAGGTTTTTTATTGCTTCTTTCTTATTTCATTCGTCGAGCTTATACATGAGGCTATAAAGTTTTCACCTGTTGATGTTGCGTAATATGATTAGTGTTCTGGTTCCTAGGTGAGTTTCTTTCTGTTTCTTTTTTCTTCTTTCTCAACTTGTAAACTATAAATGTTTTGGAAGTTGGAACAGTTCAGACGATAGGAACTTTTAAGGCACTGTAGAAATTGAAACAATAAAAACAAAAGAAACAAAAGAAGCTCACTCAGGAAATGAAGCTAGCCTTATCCCGACCCTAAAAGAAGCGAAACCTCTTTACCTCATATTCTAGATCCACTTATCTATAGAAAGTCGTAAGTTATCAGTTAGTAGCCATTATCGGAAGAAAAGAAAGTCTCACAAGTTAGATTCCCTTATTTATCAAGTGAACGGTCCATAAAAGCGTTGGGGCGCGCTATGCCACGTACCGACGATCGCGGCGATCGCCGCGATTCCCGCTGCTGTCGCGAAGTATGAACGCTGCCTGGAAGAGCAGGCACCGCACATCATAGATCTTCAAGGCAACAACAAAATTATGGCGAAGCTACACTACGGAGAAAGTGTCACCATTGCTCAAGGTATGAACACGTAGCGTGCGAGTGCCCATCCCGAGCGGTAAATAAAGGACTGCGGGGTCACAAGAAAGTCCTTGCTGAAAGAGAGGGAACAAAAGTGTCGTCTATCACTAAGCAAAACCGCACCATGGGAGTAAAGATCTAAAACAGAAGTCTGAAAGGAGCGACCTCATTAGGAAACATGGTCCCTATGAGGCCCATTGGGGAACGTCATGCCTCGAAGAACGGAATAAACATCATGCAATGTACATTCAAGGTGAAGCAAATAGTGGGTAAGCTGAAACAGTCGTGCTTGAAGGCACATGGTATTCTCACACATTGAGGGTGTATGTGGCTATCAGCCCCCGACTCTCGATGTGTCGTGGTTTCCCCTCCCGAAACTGCACGGGGTTAGAGTACAGGGCCTTGGGAAAGTCAAAGTCGTCCATGCTCCGCCTACCGTCCGTTTATGCTAACAGCCGTCTGCGCGGCGCATGTCGCGCGCGCTCTCTTGGCTTTTTGCCAAGTCCTGTAATTGCGCTTTGGAATACAAATAAAGCGGCGCAATTTCCTGATGCGGATAACATTTTATTTGCTGCAAATAAGAACGAAAGATGATGAGAGGGCTAGAACTCAAGAGCAACTGTGCTGCTTCTGCATTATCCCTCAGAAGCTGCGCATTCCCAAGAAACATGAACAAAACGTCCTAAGCGTTCCACTCGTTAGTTGAACACAAGCAAAATACATTTCGTGATGGCGAGTAACATTTGAGGTGTTGGCTCATGCCTTCAAAGTCCGAATAGAAGGTGATGAAGATGACAAAGGCTAGAATGAAGAACAACGGATGTGAGGATGTTAATAGAAACAAAATGAAGAAAAATTGAGGAAATGTAAATTAATTGAAATCACGTGTAAATTTCTGCGATCCGGCGCAAATCGAGCTCCAAAGCCATAGAAATGCTTTAAGCTAACGAGTGGGGACGCTTAGGCCGTTTTTATTTTCATGTTTTAATGGGAAGCTAAAGGATCTTTTCTTGCATTGCCCGAAAGGTCCACACACTGATGCCATCTTCATCGCCAGACAGTTGATGGAAAAGTACCAAAGAAGCCGGCGACTCTACTACCTAGCCTTCCTAGACTTTGAGAAGGCACTCGACCGCCTGCCTCGCGCTGTACTCTGGAGAGCGCTCAGAGAACGCAACGTTTCTGGAGCACTCTGCTTCCATAGTGAAGGATATGTACGATGGGGCTAAAGCACTGTACGCACCCCCCCCCCCCCCCACGGCTTTGACGAAGGAAGTGAACATCGCGGTTGGGTATACAGCAAGGATCAGCCTCAGCCCGTTCTCTTCATCCTGACTCTAGATTGTTCATGGCAAAAGAATTCATGAAGAGGACCACTGAACACCATCTCGTCCTCTGACAGCAGATGATACGTGACAGCAGGTAAGAACTCCAGGGCAAGTTGCGACGGTGGCAGGAGGTGCTCTCTGAGAATGGACTCCGGCTGTGAAGAAGACCAAGTTCATGAGCTCCGAAGAGTGTACCGCAACCCATCGTAGACTGCCAATGGGGAGAGCATCGAAGGGTCGATGACTTCCAGTACCTTGGGAGCGACCTAGCAGGTGATGGCAGCGTGGACCAGGCGGAGGCGTGAAGGCCCGAATCAACGCAGCTTGGATGAAATTGGAGGGAGGTCCACCGGCGTCCGTGTGCGACCGGCCGGTGCTCGAGAACGGCTAAAGGGCAAAGGTGCACCAGGCGGTGGTAATGCCTACAGTTCTCTACGGCAGTAAATGCTGGCCCATCTGCAAGAACCATGAGAGGCAGCTCCACTCAGCTCAAATAAGGATGCTAAGATGGGCCTGCGGCTGGACACGGCTCGACAGAGTCAGATACGAGGACGTCAGGGGCGGTCACACAGACCGTTCCAATCCAGCTAAGGGCACGAGAGCAGATGGTATGAGCACGTGCTGAGAAGGCGCAAGGACCACCCAATAAGGAAGGCATTGGAATTCGAAGCAGAGGGCAAGCGACTACGAAGAGCCCCAAAGAAAAGATGGAGGGGCGTCATCATGAAGTGAACGCCACGGCAGAAGATGCAGTGGATTGGAACAAGTGGCGACGTCTAACACGAACAGCGGACCCTGCGACGGCGCGGGACTAACGCTAGTGAGAAGAAAAGAAGAAGAAAAATAGGTTTTATGGGATTGCGCGGCCTCCGAATGATATTGCAGTAGCAGCACAGTTGCTCTTGTGTACTGGCCCTCGTAATCATCTTCGGTTCTTATTTTGCAGCACCTTAAATGTTATCCGCACCAGAAAATTGCGTTCAAATTGTGTTTCAGAGCGCAATTACAGGACCTGGCAAAGTGCCAAGTGGGCCGCACACGACACGCGCCGCGCGGACGGCTATTAGCATAAAGGGAGTCTGCCCCGCAAGTTGCATTTTGGGCGGAGCATGGACGACTCAGACTTTCCCACAGCCTTGTACTCTAACCCCGTGCAGTTTCGGGCGGGGAGACCACGACACGTCGACAGCTGGAGGGCTAATAGTCACATACACCCTCAATGTGTGTGAGCGTACCATGTGTCTTTAATATCAGTTAACTTTAAGAAACGCGAACGATTATAGGGGTAATGCGTTAACCAAACTAGGGATACATGTGAGGGTGAACAACGATAAACTCAAAGATCACATAACTCTTGTAAAACCAGAGAACAGAAATAAAGTGGTGGTGGCAAATATTCCACCACATGATGAAGCTCTGGTGCCAGTAGTATGCGAAGAGGATACGAAAGCAAATAGGAGTCATCCGGCCCAGCGAGCACGGGTCAGCACTCCGAATGCGTACGACTGAAAATCAGGGAACGGCTATCCCGATATTCAGTAATAGTACAGAGTCCTTACTTTCAAAAGAAGGAGCGTAACCAGGGCATCGGGGTACAGTCAAATGGCTTGAACACTGGTAGAACTGGGATCCTCTCATATTGGACGAAGCGCTATTAAGCTGTCAGATAGAAACTGGAAAGGCTACCACCGGAGAATCGCAAATGCTAGATAAAGAATTAAGCGACTTTGTAAATAAATATTTGGACTTTTCGCCCGATAGCAGATCAACAGTTGAGTCAAACCAACCTCGTAAAGATGACTATAATCCCAGAAGACTGCGGACCAATCATAATGAAATCAAGGACCAGTACCGCCGGGTTCAAAATCGCAACGCACACAATTGCTTACATACCGTGAAGGAAAGACGTGATAGAGTAGAGCAAGTTGGAATAGGTTGTTCACTGTTGTTTCCCCTATCATTCTCACAGCCAAAAAAGACGGCTCATCCCGATTATGCCTCAATTACGGACAGCTCAACAAAAGAATAGGACTAAATGCGTAATGATTTCCCAGCATAGAAGGCTTCTTGCGAATATCTGGAAACCAACACATGCGATGGTGCAATCCAAGTTAATGGTGAAGACTTACCGAATACTATATCCTTCAGATATCTAGGATCTCGCCTTCAGAGCGGTGGTAGTCTAGATGACGAGCGAGAATAAATGCGTCGTGGGCGCGATGGAAAGAGATTACTGGAATACTGTGCGACAGACGCATGCCAACTCGCAAGAAATCGAAGATATATCGCACATTGGTCCCCCCCCCCCCGGTTGCACTGTACGGATCCCAATGCTGGCCGATCACAAGAAGCGCAGAACGTCAACTGAACACCATGGAGATGCGGATGCTGCGATTTACAATTTCTATTACACGCCTTTATCGCATTTGTAAGATGTCGTCCGCCGGCAGATAGGCGTGGTATCACTTGCTGAGGAGATGCGGCTTAGTGGTATGGACACGTCGCGCGCGCCGCGCTGCATTCCGTCGCTGCAACGGCGTATCATTTTAAAGTGGATGGCCATCGGCTCAGAGGAAGACCTAAACAACGTTGGCAGGACACAATCAACGGTAAATGAAACCGTCAACCTGACCAAAGAGGATGCATTCTACCGAGCAAAGTGGCGATAATAGATCGACCGGAAAAATGGACCCCGCACCAGTGGGACAACTATAAGAAGAAGAAGAAGAAGAACAAGACAATGATGATGGAGATGAGGAAGCTGATGATGATGGCGGAGGATGAAGATGGTGATGATGATCGAATGAAGATTGAAGCGAAGAAGAAGAATAGAAGAAGAAGAGGTGGGAGAAGAAGAAGAAGGAAAACAAAAAAGAAAAAGAAGCCTTCTTTGCGAAGTCTCCAGGAAGGGACTTTTTTCCAACACTGAGTTTTTAGCGGATACTGGCAAATTCCATTAGAAAATGCTGAAGATAATTCAGCTTTTGCTACACCAGCAGGGTTATTAATTCGGAGTAATTCCCTCCTGACTCAACACGGAGTCCGCTAGAATTTTAGAGCCTGAGGAATACCGTACTGAGAGACTTTCTCAAAGGAGATGTCTTCTGTTACATCGACTATATCATGGGTCCACATATTTAGAACAACGACTGCCTTCAAGTTTAAGAGGAGTGTTTTCTCGGCAAAAACGAGTGGAATTTCGATTCAAGGCGGCAGAAGTGCCATTTCCTTAGAAGGGAAAGTTGCGTTCCGGGTCAGGTCGTGGACGGTGAAAGAATTCGTATGAAACCAGAGGAAGTATCCGGTAGGCGGAATTACTTTTTGCCCAAGACAGTCAAAAGAACTTTTACAGAAGATTCAGCCTGAGCTTTTCGACGAAGCAGCATGCTCTTTGACTTGAGTTCCTCCAAAGCGAAGTGACATGAGAAAAAGAACATCAAGAAGCTTTAAGTAAATGAAAACGTTGACCTGCTTAGCGCCAGTCCCAAACAGCTCGACATAGGAAGTAGGCTGAAGTGGTCGTAGACCATTTCTCATGTGCACTGATGCATCGAACATTGGGTTGAGAGCGGCTGTATCGCAAGAAGATGAAGACAAGCAAAGACCCTACATTTTTCGCATTCAAAAGCTTGAATAAAACAAAACGAGGGATACCACGTAAACACAGCAGGGGGCGCCTCGCATTGTATTTCGCCGTTCGGCATTTCATATGTTCATATATGGTTATCCGACCATCATCATGACAGATCACCAGCCTCTAGCTGCCCCTGTTCAAGCGTATTAAATGTCGAGCTTTGAAGGTAACTTCGATGCGTAAAAAGCAAATATGGTGGCAGATGCGGCGTTCCTCCCCAGCAGACAGGTAGCGTTTGTTGGAGTGAATGAAGGAGTAGTAAACATAATCTTAGTGGCTCAGGGAACAGAGGCAAGATTCCCCGCCTCAAGGAAAGATTCGACTAATAGAGAACGGAGAATGGACCAGGAGGTGAGACTCACAGGCGCAAGGCGCTCTATAAGCAGACTGCTCTGGACGATGGAGGACTACAATAGAGTTATGGGCCAATGGCTAATTGCTACACAGTGTTCGAAAACAATAAGCCCCAAAATCTTTCAAGAAGCTCGTAGCGTGTGCTCGCGGTGGTTTTAGCGTCGTAAAAATGATCTCTAAGCAAGTGTAGGCCTGGTACGTATTAGGATGTTCACAGTATGAACAAAAGAATGTCGGGAATGTTGCGTACATGATTGAAAAACGGTACTACAGCTCAAGCCAATCCTTATCTTGAAACCATACAAAAGATCAGGCTTAGATGTTCTAGAATAGTCTCACTTTTAATGGAAATAGATACGCAGCAAACGATGACTGATCACTTCACAAAATATGGTGGCTGCATATCCTTCACTGGTAAATCGGGCAACGACAGTTGCGAAAGCACAGTAGGCTGCAGGTGGCTAAGAACAAATCTACCAGACAAAGGAGAGATCCGCTGATGAAATGATGGAGAGTATTGCGAAAAAAACGAAAGTTCAACGAGAAAGGGACAACCCGAGAGACAACGACTCATGGACACAGGCACGCCATTGCGTTGTGATCATTTCCTGAAAAATACGACCCCCCTAATTCCATCTTCAGGTACGCGACCCCCCTTCCCATGTTACCTCTTCCCTAGATTTTTCCAACCTTCTACCACTTTGTCTACTTTTCCCCAAAAAATTTCTGGTTTTTTTACAAAAATTTGCTGTCGAGCGGGGAAGGGGAGGTCCAGTACCTACTACGTCCCAAGCCGTCCAGAACGTCCAGCCACTCTGGCGCTGGTGTACCATACTGACAAGTACGTACGAGGAAGGGGCGATGATAGGAGCTACGATGCACCGCCACAAGGGCAATCATGTATTTATAAAAAAAAAAAGAGGACTGCGCGACGTGGACGGATTTAATAAACAGATGAAAGTGCATTGCCGGACTTTTCTGTGATCGTAGGAGCACATGTGCTTGCACTTGGGAAGCCCTATCTAGAAGTTAAACCTTTCCAAAACCTGCGTGAAAGCCCCATGCATGCGCGCATTGCCACAGGTGATGCCAATTGGCGCCCATTAGACCATTCTTCAATACCCTTTGCGGAAACATGTGTTTCTGAAGCATTACCAAAGTCTTCAAGCCAACTGAGGTTTCCTAGCCTCGGAGGGTTGATTTTTCGTGTCGTGGGGGGTGATTACTAAATGATCACAACGGGAAATTTTTTCGAATAGCTAGTTCTAGAAGGAATTAAAACTTTGCTGGAAAGTAGAAATCTTCAAGCTTCCGGCACAGTTCTTTTTTTTTACGAAAGGCCGTGTATGAAGCTTGCCATGGACGTCCAAAGCGTAGCGACTCGCGGTTCGCAAAAATGGATCACAGACGATCACAAACGATGATCACAACGGGAAAATCTCTGGAACCGGAACGTTTTCGAATCGCTCAGCTCAGTGACAAGAGCCAGCCTAGCTCTACTGATTCCACTTACCCCTCTCCGACAGCTTCACTTCAACGAATTATGGGCGTTCAAATGAGGGGTATTCACCGTGTTTGGCTTGAAATGGCTCCGAACCGCGTAAAATAGCACGCACCAATGCGCTGTTATGAGCGCGCTGACCGCGAACAGCCAAAATTCAAAAGTAATCCATAGTTCCGGTTTCCCAGCTGGCCTGGTGGAGTATTTTTTCTTATCCATTCGCATGTTAATTATTTTGATTACTTGTTTTTGTAAGTTCGATTTTGTTTTGTTGAACTTGATTTTGTTGTGAGGAAATTGCTCAGGATTCAGTTTCTACGGTTTCATAGGTATAGCTTTGCCAATGGATCATTTTCTATTTTTCGGATTAGTGGATGGGATTTATGCTGGACCAGATGAGGAGGTTGGTGCGGCGAAGTGTCTTAAAAGTTTTTTTTGTGAGGAAGGAGGAAAAAGTTTCCGCAATATTTTTTTTTAGTTCTTGGCCTAAGGATAGTTCGGTAGTGCCTATTCTATTTGTTGTCATCTAGATCGTCCCTTTTGAGCTTCTGTTCACTTGTACCGTGTATCACCGCTCTCTCCACTTCAGCCATACGTTCACGACCCCCCCCTCCATCGCGGGCAAATACGACCCCCCCGTTGCGATGATCACAAAGATGGCGTGCCCTGCATGGAAAGTGGAACTCAGTGGAACTTATCGCCATAATGCGAGAGAGCGCGGTGTTCCAGACGGAATGGGACAGAAGGATGCCATTCTCAACGATGGCATACAATATGATTTCTCATAGCGCCAATGGGGAGAGACTGTACGTCCTTTCTTTATGGGTTAGAGCCATTTCCCCCTCGATAATTATGTTATAAATAAACCGCTGAGGGCCCATAAAACTCAAATTTTTCAAGTTATTGCAGAACGATTATTGTATTCTTGCACATGGAAGAGTGCAATAATACAATAATCGAATCAAGGACAAATGAAAAGCGTTTCTGGCAGAAAAAACGAAGTCACAGGAAGAAAATACCCAAAATGAGGCGATCGTGTATATGCATGGCCACCTAGGCAGCGGAGTATGAAATCACATCCAAAATTGAGTGGCCAATGCCATGTTGAGTTGTTGAGGCAAGCAGCAACCCCGCCTCAGTCACGAGAACTGGAGAAAACACTGAACCTGCTCGCATCTTCTTCTTAGTCTTCAGCGTTCATCCCGCAAGATGAAAGGGTCCGCTCTTCTGATGTGATGTAACCACTTCTCCCGATTGTATGTATGGTCGAGGTGGATCTCAGCTACTTTCAAATCTGTATGCGCGTATCGAGTCAGTGCTGTTTGGGGCGTTCTTTGGGTCGCTTTCCGGGCAGCCCACCCAAACTGAGGGCTAGTTTTGCGAACAGTGCCACCCTTTGCGCGAAGTACATGGCCGCACCATCGAAGACACGTTTCTCGCATTTCGTCCGCTATAGGAAGTACACCGAACTTTCTGCCATTACATCGCTACACATCTTTGGCCAGTCTAAACGCGTAACTCCCGCTGTCGAACGCAACATTTTCATCTCTATCACATCAAAACAGGCCGATTTCCCTGGCTGCGCTAGCACTGAGCACCATGTGAGACGACTGATCAGCGACACTTCTATGGATCTTTGACTTGAGGCGCTCTGACATCTTCTTGTCGCAGAGAATCCCAGACATGGATCGCCATTTCGATCACTTTCAGTCACGCTGCACTCACACGTGCACCCACTTCCGATTCAGACTACCACCAGACCACCACCGGACGACCACCACCAGACCACCACCGGACGTAATTGCTCATCTGAGATATTTGAATTTTTTTGTACGGAGCTCAGTTTGGTTTTGATGGAGCCCGTCTCGCTTGGGTTGGTACTCAGAATCAGCCTTTATGGCGTGCAACTTAAGTCGAAGTGAAAGCGTTCAGGGAATTTCTTTTTGGACTTCTCGTAAAATGGAATTCATAACGACGGTGACAAGAAGGGCGGAGAGCGCAGAACCTTGATGTGCCCAACGATGGTCTGGAAACTCTATCGAAATGCCCGCTGGTGTCCGCACTTTTCCTGGATTTGAATAGAGAAGGATCCACTCAACTAGCTCTTCAGAAATGCCGTGCTATAGCGAGGCGTGCTCTTTTATTTCACACGACACCCTATCAAGTGTTTTCTAGCAATCTGCCAAAGTGCCCTTCTTCTTCCAGATCGGGGTCGTCGTGCTCTCCCAGGGCACCTTCTTCTCTTCAACGATCTGGTTGAAAAGCCTCGTCAACCACTTCGCAAAAAAACAGCGCTAGGACTTTCTCAAATCTGCTGCCAGATCGTCGGGGCCTGTTGCTATGCCGGCCTTCATCTTGCTCAAAGCTGTTTCTACTTCCTGCACTAATATCCTCTGATCGCGTCCATATGTCGGTGCTGCACAGAGGTAACTGGGTGGGTGAATTCTACTGTTGAGATGCCTTCAAAGCGTTGACGAAGTCGTTGTATTGCCCCTCTCGGTTTATCAGAAGATGCCATTCTTGTCATTCATACCAGAACAAACTTATCCCTATATTCGGTATGACGGTGATTTCGGCGATTTTGGTGCAAGTGCCGCTCACTATCGCATGACTCCACTTTCTTGTTGACATCACGAAGTGAGCGGCTTTTACGTCAGCAGCACCCTTCTTTGCAGCACTTGTCGCTTGCTGGTGATTCCCACAGTTCTTAGATGAATTATGGTTCGGAAACACGTGGTGATACCTTTTTTCTCGAGGAGCTTCATGTTGAGGTTGTCCATCCACAGTCAGGCATCTTTGTTAGGCCTCCGCCATCCAGGCTTCGTTTCGCCGAGTTCGATGCGGGTAGCTTGAGTTATCGATTCAGTGGTTTCTTTCCAGGTTTTGTCCACAATTGTTGTTTTGGAAAGTTGAATGCGAAAGTCAAGACTGCCTTCCGCTCCTTTAGCTGCCACCACCTAATTCTCTGGGAACCGCATCGCTCCGCCTGCTTCAATCTAATGGCTGCAAGTCTGAGCGTCTAGGTCAGTGGGCAGTGCTGCCCACTGTTTCATTCGGCACTACCTTAGCTTCGGTAACGATTCCTTGATCGCCACGTCTGATAAGCATAAAGTCTATTTGTCTTGTGGTACTCCTGCTCTAGAAGGTGATGAGATGAGAGTCACGTTTGTGAAACTTTATGTTCAGGGTGAAGGGATTATGCGTGTCTGCACATTCAAGAATTAGCATACTGTGATCCGTATCCGAATCCACTATGGCAGACATAACCATCTTTCGCTACGCCTACGTGCCCATCTAGGTCAGCAGCAACGATATTACCGTCTTCTGGTGGCGCCTTCTCCAACAGAGCCCAGAATTTATCGTTGGATTGGTCTAAGCGTCCATATTGCGGGACATATACGGAGAAGATGTGATAGATAGATAAATAGATAGTCGTTGCTCGACAGCAACAAAAATCCTCATTAACCTCATCAAACTGTTCACAATTCGAACGACGCTAGTTATCGAGTTGTGGAACCGCTGAAACGCGATTGCAGCCACATCAGCAGTTTTCGGACCACCACAAAGGAGGGCCTTGTTGCAGCGGCCAATTCCTTTCACCCTTTAACCGGCCCATCACGTTTCGCGCTGCTTCTTCTAGCGCTTCTGCCAACTCATACAAACGCCCACTCAACATCCAACATTCAGCGCTGCAACAGGAGCCTTTAACAGCTGCGGGATTTTTGAACTAGACCAGTTGCACCCCGCCCTTCGATGTCGTCGTTGCATCGGAGACCCTCACATACTTTCTACATTCGCCGAGCCTTGCGAGTGCCCGTCGGCTCCCGCGGACGCCGTAGCTTTAGCTCGGGATATGGTATAATTAGACGTGATTTATGAGATACTGGTTCTCGTTAGTCGTCCCTTCACGAAGGCCTGTCACCTGCATTCGGATGTCCGCGATCAGCTCAGCTCGCAAAAGCGAGCAGTCCACAGTGGCGCCACATGCGGGAGCGAACCTCACCACCGATAGAGTCCAGAATGATGATTATAAATATCGTGACTGAAAGGGAAACGGGAATTTCCAAGACGAGCTCCCAAGTTGAGTGGAGGACATCACTACCAACCTGTTCGCATACAGTTTGATTCGTTAAGTGTTGTACAGGAAGAAATCTTCGATAAGCCGTTCGATACAGCACCAGTCAGCGGTCACAAAGGGAGAAAAAAACTAAAAGTATATACATTTCACTATCGGTGGTGAAGTTCGCTCCTTTATGTGGTGCCGCTGGGGACTGCTCGCTTTTGCGAGCTGAGCTGACAGGTGCAGGTGACAGGCCTTCGTGACGGGCCGACTTACAAATACCAATGTCTCATAACTCATGTCTAACTATACCATATCCAGAGTTATGCTACGGCGTCCGCGGGAGCCGACGATCACTCGCAAAGCTCGGCGATGTGGAAAGTATGCGAGGGTCTCCTATGCAACGGCGACATCGAATTGCGAGGTGCAACTAGTCTAGTACAAAATTTCCGCAGCATGTTGAAGGCTCGTGTTGCAACATCTTGATAACTAGCGTAGTTCGATTTGAGAACCGTTTAATGAGGTTAATGAGGAATGTTGTTGCTGTCGAGCAACGACTATATCACAACTTCTCTTGTTCGCAGGCGCTCCAGTGTCCAGAGCAAATGTTGCTCACCAAGAAAGGTCAACAGGTCAGCCGGCCATTAGGGTTTTCGCGCTGAATTAATGTGACCCTCAGGGACGAATTCCGAGCTGAATCAGTGATCTCGAATTAACTCGAAAAATGTGTATGGTATTCCATAGGTGAGTAGCAGCAGACTGATGCTCACTTGCCATTGATGACTGGTCTTGATTTGGTCCCTGTAATCGAGAAAATGATGGAGATGGTGCGGGTAGGTGGTGAGCCATGTATAGCTGTTTGCGGAAAGACACCTATCTTGCTTTAAGAGCTTGCGTATCGCACCACAGGCGCCAACGCTTTGGCTCCAACGCGCCTTGAAAGAAAAAGTCAAGAGAAATCCACATAACTCCGCTCAAAGAATCGCTTCGCAATTCTTTGGGAAACTTTCGAGTTTACCGTCCTAAGAGGAGTAAAATGATGGGCACCTCATTGCAGATGGCCGGGCTGACCTGTTGACCTTCCTTGGTCAGACGGGCCCAATTCAGCAGTAAGTGTGGTTGTATTTGTCCGCAATTTTCGGCAATATTGTGGCGAGTGAGCTTTCCGGCGCGAAACCGGGCAATTTCGTGAAGTAGGGCAACGTGTAGAACTTTTTAGCTCCCAGAGAACTGTGTCTTCGGGTTTCCGTGCTTACAAAAAAGTGACTTGAGCGAACACGATGCATTTTGAAGGCAGAAGCTCACAGTACTGCAATCCTCCAACAAAACTGTAAAAACCATTTTTCGTGTATTTTCCTTCCGGCTCTTCGGAAGTGGTTCGTCTAGCAGGGCCGAACTGCCTCACTGCCGTGCATAGTTAACGTACATCACTCAACAACTACGTCTTGTGAAGGGTTAGCGGAGAGCGACCTGGCTGTATGGGCGCAGAAACGGAAACTGGCACACACTCACTCTTGCCACCGGCCAGGAGAAGCTGGGAAGTGAGACTTCGCTGTTTTTTTGTCGCAGAAATTCTGGATTTCCGAAAATGGCAGTTGAATGCAACGTTGCGCACACTTGCATAATTATTATCGTTTTCTTGAACACTTTGGTCCAAGGGAAATGAAGCTACAGATTTTTGAAAAGAAAGCAAGGTTTTCACAACGACCTGATATGTATATACACTGCACCCTACGTTCTTTTTCTACGAAGCGTGACCTATTTACCTAACGCTGTCAAGTTCACATTATCAAGACTCTTTCAATAAAAAATTCAAGAATCGTTAACAGTTTTCATTATTTTATCATTATAGTTACCATTGTCACTATTTTGTATTACTCCTATGAAGATCCTGTTTCTTTCGAAAACCGTTAGAAGTAAATGATGTTGATTTCGAGCTATCACTCCTAGTTATCGTTTTATCGCCCAATACTGTTTGTGAGTTGTTTTTACTTCTCAATTAAGGACGCGACTTGATACTACACCTCTCTCCCACCGATGATCCTAACTCCAGAAATCGTCACTCACAACGTTGCTGTTTTGTTGCAAATCCTGCTTGTACATTTGTAATAAAGGTAGGGACACTTCTGTTCTGAAAGTTGGGGCTATATTTAAGAACTTTTGCAGTTTGAACCAGCGTCGTCTTCACCTTACACTAAGCTCTTCTCTGAACCTAAGAATTACGGATACCTCTCGCAAAGAGTTCCGAATGACGTGGGGTTCGTAAGCATTATATTTTGACTTATAACAGAGAATTCATATAAGCAATTTCTTACGTCAGATATCAATCAAAACTGGTAAAGGAACTCAGTTGCTGGGCAAGGTATGTCGTGGAGCCATGGCGGATTTCGTCATGCACTCTTGCTTGGTCCTGCTGGGAGTGGGAAGACGTCTGTTGCAGCACTACTTGCCCAGGATCTTGCAAACGACTGCTGCTGCCTTTCTGTACGAGTCGATTGTAGTTCTTGGAAAGGTATGCGTTGCTATTAAAAGTGCTCTACGTTTGTGAGTTTCGGTGACTTTTTCTGTTCAGGAAAGTCAACAGAAATAATTGAGCGATGTCTTCTTACTGAAATTAAATTGCTTTCCAAGAGGGTACCAAGTCTTCTAGTACTCGACGACTTTGACTTTCTGAGCCATTCCAGCGAAGAGGAACTAAGACCGTTGAGCACTGTTCGAGTTATTCAGCGTAAGTGAACACATTACTCCTAAAGGGAGCTCCATCGACATTGTTCTGTATTTTTACCATTAGAACAAATTTCTTCTTTAATGCAAATAGCAATGAATAGTTTCGGATGAGAGCCAAAGCAGTGCAAAGACTAGGGAGCGCCGCTTTGCACTTCAAAGATGCGACCGTTATGTCAAACATTTCAATTTCTCCGTTTTCGGCTGGTCGATATCGGCTTGTATGAAGAGATCACGCCCTTCAATGAAAGCTCCAGAAAGGTCTTTATTCGTTCCAGCAACCTTCAAGTGCCTCCCTGCACTTGAGAGGCGTGATATATTACACACCATTCATCCAGAGATTCCAAAAAGAAGTCTGACCCTATAGTAGAACCCTTGCTCTTCAAACGGTTGTGGCAGTATTAGTCGTCGTGGATGTGGGCAGTGGCGCGGGCTTTGGAGACGGCAAACTGCTGGTCTGCGGAGAATTCAAAGTACTCTGTGCTGGATTTAGCTGAACCAGCATTTACTGGCCAGGAAAGGTCAACTGGTCAGTCCGGTCATTTTCTACGAGTGCACACCGTTGTACGCGTCTTGAAACGGTGAACTAAAATCTTCCTTTAGTATTTGCAGCACGATTCTCTGGCTGGAGTTTTGGAAGTTTTCATTCTTGCGTGGTTGTTTTACATGCTATTGCGAGGAACCGTGGAAGCGTCTCTACATACATATGGAGAGTCGTTCTGAAACTTAGTTGTAGAGCGCAGCGGAACCGGGTTTCCCAGGCGAGCAGTCCTGGGATCAGTTCCCGACAGGTTGTCTCACTTTTGCATTTCTCCTAGAAGGTGGCATGAAGCTTCCAACATCTCTACTCACCTGCACTAGCCTTTAAAGGAACCTGCGAGCAGTTTTTTTTGGAACTGTAAACCCAGTACGGCCTGAAAGAGTGCTTGTGTTTGTCCCCTTTTGTAGCTTAAGTCACAAGGGTTTTTGCAACGAAATAGCATGATATTTATGTTCAGCGGGGCAAATCACCACTGGGGACAAGTTTCTAGCCTTGCCAGTTTTCTAGAAGATTTTTCGACCTAACTTGGAACATGTTTGCTGTTCCATGGATAATTAGCAGCAGACTGGAGCTCATCTACCATCGATGACTGCTCTCGGGATGGAATTTCGTTATTTCAGCGTGAAGACCAGTTATCAGCAGTAGGCTAGTCATTGTATTGTTGTTGGCTACCAGTGAGCCATCGCTAACCTCACTCTATTTTCCAGAGTAGAGTCAGAACCTCAGATTTCGCTATACTGTCGTCGCTAGAGGTTATCTGACCCCCTGAACACGAACAGGTGCCACGCTCCGACCCCAGCTCGCCTTGAAGAGAAAAACAGTAAAGAAAAACCTCCATAGCTGCGCTTAGAGAATAGTTCCGCAAATTTTGAAGGCAGTTTTGAGTTCACCGCCTCACTAGGAGTAGAACTAAGTGCATCTCATTGCAAATGGCCGGGCTGACCTGTTGACCTTTTCTGGTGAGTCCCTTTGGGCTTTCGCTAGGGCAGCAAGTCGATGCGGTAAAAGCGCTAAGTATGGATGGCGCTAAAGATATAGATTTGGAGATGACCGCTTCAACATGTCGTCCCGTACGAGAAGCGGCGTTCCTACCTCTTCGAAAAGCCCCTACAATGGACAGGTGATTTGTAAGAATGTTCTATCGACGGAAACGAGCATTACTTCTGTATATATCAGATGGCTCATATAATAATGGGAGATAACAACGGTGGGACAAGCGCAATGTAAGGGACAAACACATTCACTCGTGATGACATTGCAACATCGAAAATACAGCAAAAAATCTTCGTAATCTAACAACTGGCGATACCCTCATGAAAGTGATGCCATGATACAAAAGCAAACCACAGTGCAGCACAATGAGTATTCACGTGAGTTCATGCTGAACCAATTCATCCCATTCAGCTGCTTCGACGATCTGACGCCCTTCTTTGCCGCTTCATTCAGCTGCTCCGTCTGTAAAAAGGAGCCCTTCGTTATGCAGAGGATACATGGACCATCTTGCAGCATGAGTATTCTAAAGACATGGTCATGAAGTTTCTTCTAAAAGAAATAAGCTATGCGAGCACCGCTCATCGTAACAAAGTTGTGCCCAACAAGGGAAGGATGGTAGTTCGAAGTGGCCAATTGAAATGAGATCTATGACGACTGAAAGGTCTTTGGACAGGGATTACGAAGCCGTCTTCCTTCTGTTGCGGACCTCTCAGAGCAAAGTTACGTATTCTTTTTAGGGGAACATACTGGCATTCAATACGAATTAGCGGCATAAGGCTCTCTTGCTCGAAGCAGCGTTGCTCAGTGGATAGGTCGTAGGTCTCGCGAACACATGGTTGAGCGTTTGAATCCTTAATGCGTGTTCTCTTTTGCATTTTTTGGCAGTGGTCTCTGCGCGTTCGAAAGTATTTCCGTATAACTCTTGTGCTTGATAATGTCGTGAATTAATGTTTCTAAATTGATAGACCCCATCAATGGGCGGTACCATGGAAGACACTTTCGGCTGTTGATTCTTCTTTGATTGCTTCAATATTTTTTGCAACAAAAGTGCACTCTATCGAATGGCTTTACTCTCCTGACCACATGGCTGAACTCGAAATCACATGAACTTGTACACGAAAATGAGTATACTTCGGAAGGTTTCAATACGTTGTAGCTTTGACGAGACATTCTGGTCAGGAGTCATGAGAGGCAAAACCTTCACTCATCACTCACACAGTTTTGAAAGATGTTCTTCTCCACAATGGTGCCTTTGCACCTGCTGGAGGTCCTCGACTCTCGGCTCTGTGACAAATTTAACAGCCAAGAACGTTCTCCATGGAACCGTCCACAATGGCTCCATTAGTTCAGAAACATACCTTGACGACATTATCCAGCCAAGAGTTACGCAAAAACTCTTTTGAGTGCACAGACACTACTGTAGGTAAAATGAAAAAGAGCACACAGAGGTAAGAGGTCCGCAGCAGATATGGAGGACTGTTTCATAATCTCCATCTGAAGACCTTTCAGTCGGTTAACATCTCATTTCGAATGGTAACTTCGACCAGCTGTCCTTTCTCCGTAAGATAGAACATGGGAAATCGTTTGTTTTGTTCGTTTCTCTCATATTCCTACATGAGATTAGTTTGGCAACTGCAAAACGCGAATCCGATTGAATGTTTCGATTTTGTTTGCGAATCAGACAGGACAACGGGAGGAAAGTCGATGCTATTGCTACTGCTAGTCGATGCTTTGCTATTTGACAAACATTGGTATCAACATATATATGACTCCGCACACTTTTCAGTGAAGTTGCGCGAGTTTTGAATTTTTAAAACTTTTTTCGACATCGTTCTTTTCACATTCAACCTTAACAAAACGAACATACTCATAGCCATGCATTTACACACTAGCACCTAGCACACCAATAGAGAACGGAAAAAATGGGTACTTTGTTCCGAGTGACGGGAGAAGCCATAACCTGCTAGTACGGGCTCTAGCCTGCCGATCTGCATCATCCTCCAAAAGTGGGTGGGGCTTCTACCAAAGGCGCGAAGCTTCTATTAGTGGGCCACAAGCCACTTGTTACAGCCAAAAAAGCGGAAATTCGGAAGAAAAAAAAGGGTTTGGTCATAGAGGCGGGGCTTGGTGTGCTAGTTGAATGCACGGCTATGAGTATATTCGTTCTGTGAAGATTGAATGTGAAAAGAACGACGTCGAAAAAAGTTATGAAAATTCAAAACTTGCCTAACTTCATTGAAAATTGGGCCTAGTCATATAAGTGTTGGTACCAATCCTATTCAGTTGAATTGTGTGTCAATTAGCAAAAGTGAAAAGCAAATAGCAAAAGTGAAAACCAAAATCGTCTTAAGCTATTCTGAAAAACTATGACCGCGCTAAAAAGTGGGCGGGTATGTCGGAGCGGGGCTTGCAGCAGTACCCAGTGGGGTCAAGTTAGCAAGCGCCCATTAAGGGGTGTGTCCAATTTGATTTGAAAAGTGTCCGATTTGCTTTGAAAGAGGTCCATTTTGGTTCAAAAAAGTGTCCGATTCCACTTGAAAACTGTCCATTGTCTTCCCGATAAGGTCGAGTCTAGGGTTCGGTTATAACTGGACATTTCTTACTAGCTTTCTCTCTAGGACATTCAAGAAAGCTACTTTGGCGAGGTTATGCTCGTCACGTTTCTTTTATTATCATACCCTTCTTTCATATGCGTTACTTTGAACAGGATGCAGCATCGTGATGTGTGAAATTTTGGTGTCAGTGCAACCCCCCCCCCTCCTCAAAGGAGCGTCTCGGTACGACCCCCCCCCTCTTCTCCAACACCTACCTACCATTTTCCCATATTTTCCTGAGTTTCACGCAAAAATCGTCGAGCGGGGGGGGGTGTTTAGTAAACATGAAGCAAGAAAAATTACGAAATCGACAGTCGGGGAAAATGCAAGCTACACATCACCTATCTAAGCGCCGTCCATTTTTAAAATCGAAGGCGAAACTTGAACAAGATGAAACTAACAACATCAAATGGCACATAGATGCTTACAGAATGGGCAGGCATATATGCAAGACTTACAACATAGTTCAGTATCATGAACTAGCGCAGAGATTTGCATGAGCGTTTCCGTCGAGAGAAGAACCGTAACTCACCAGAACAGCTAACACAAATTTTCCCTCTAAAAAATAAAATGTTCTTGCAATGATGTCCCTACGCCAAGTATCCTGAGACGATCCAAGGAAAGCAGGTTTCATCGATTTTGAAGGAAATCTTTTTTCTTTTAAAGAATTTTTGGTGAAATAAAATAAAATAGAAAAGTGTCACATTCTATCTATTCAGTACTATGTTCATAAATTCCTCAGGCATCATGAAGAAAGATGTGAAGATGGAGATGAACCATGCTCGAAAAAAACAAAGCGGAACATGAAAAACATACAAAATTGCGAGAATAAATGGAAAAAATGACCCATGAGGCGGCAGAATACCAAATGCTGATGAGATCGC